TGAATAGGGGAAGCAAGGCTAAATGAAATTCAATCAAAAAATCAGGTCTACTCAAATTATTGTGAGGAAAATCAAATCACAGTCCTTCAACACCCTGAATGAAATAGGGTGAATATAGCCCGTATACTATATATCTCAGCAACGATGCTAGTCAAATAGCCTTAACCAATCAATCAATAGTAAATTAATTAAGTGAGTAAAGAACTTGATTGAACTTGTTTTCGCAACTTGGTCATATTGGAAAGAAGACATAGAGTAAGGCACTTTGTCCGGACTCCATACTGTGCCTGATAATTTCCAGTCTGAACGTGAACTTGGTTTATTCCCAGACGTTTCGTCGCTATGGTAGACGGCATCATCAGTGAGGCTTGCCACTTTTAGCACCACACCACAACTCGTCATGGTGGATTAACCTTATCTATATCCTACTAACACCCCTTCACTATCACAATGCCTACCAGAAGATTAGGAATTTGGAACACAAGAGACTAGGGCATAGAAAAGTCATAGACTTGGTGTAATGGATAGAAAAGTGAGAGATGTGGCATACATAAATAATTGGCTATTAGGAGATGAGTTTGAACATAGACGTGGTTTATAAAGGCTTGACCACGAGATTTACTCAGTGCAAATGCGGGACAGTTGTAATGGCAACATACATGTCAAGGTAAGCCTCCATGCTACTTTAGAATCCAGACTTTAGGTGTTGCTTAGTGAGGATGGTGTACCTGTGGCAGACATAACATATGAAGAAAAACAGGGTTTCATAGAGTGCCTTAGTGATATATTATGACATAACTTTCTATTTCGAAAGGGAAATTGGTTGGAAAGAATTCGTGAAGTGGTCGCACAGGAAACCGAGGGATGGTTTCCACGTAGGGAAGACTATTGAATTATGCGAAGAAGTCCTCGGCTCACTGTCCTAATACCCCGATGAAAATGTGCTAAACTTTCATCTGTACTGTGACAGATATCATCAGAGCAGGTATTCATACTTCTCTAAATAGAACAAAAATATACTAAACCAAGAGAAAATGCGGCCGGCTGCAACTCCGTTCACTTTTTTATACACTTAACTGCGCTATCTTAATGAGGCATACCATGATTTGGTTGTCTACTTCAATCTTACTCTACATACTTGCAAATAAATGAAGTTACTTCCCGAACCGAATGTGCGTTCGGTGACAAATAAATTAGTGTACAATCCTCTAATATTGAATCATATTTGGACTTGTGCTTTTGTTCATTCTATGTGTGTAATGTTCATGTGATGGGAAGTGTGATAGTCACAATGTACAGCATAACGCCTCGAGTAGCACGGATATGGTGGGAACAAACGAGTGAAATAATTGGAACAGAGAGATAAGAGAAGGACTAGGAGCAAGGAGAATCTGATAGGTTTAACTAAGCAAGTAAGAAATTGATATAGTGAAGGGGTGTTATGAGGACATAGGATAGATGAATACCACAGGATGGGAGATACCACAACTGTTTATCAGACGATTGGCCAAAGAATCTACTTCACTTGTCTCTTTGACGAGTTATGGTGTGGTGCTAAGAATGGCAAGGCTCACTGACGATGCCGGTGAAATGTCTGGGAAAACACCAAGTCCACGGTTTGACTCTGGAAATTATCATACATAAAATGGACTTCGGACAAGGTGTGTTTCTCCATGTTTTTCTGCCAATATGACCAAGTTGCGAAAACAGGATCAAATAAGTTCTATATAACGAAAGGGAGTCGTGACCATACCAAAGGCCAGGCAATCTCGGTTTTTATACCTTCGATTAAGTAAGTAAAGCAGTCTTCAAACGTGTGATTCAATAATAGTACCAGTAACAAAACATGGTAGTGCTAAACATTCGCTCAAATGACCTCAACTAAATGATTCATGAAAGCATTGTTTAAATTTTTGTCTCTATTTTTCATAATGTGTAACAAAAAATCAGATGTCGTCTCAAATGCTGCAGCAGAAATAAATCTGTAGAAATTTATAAGATAATGGTCTAAATTTATCTTTTCTTAGCATGCGTACATACTAAATCCAAAGTCAGGGGAAAAATAGATCTAATAAATCATTTCTTATCGAGTAAACATAAAGGAAGTATGACGTGTTATACAAAAAATAAGAAAACTAAAAATAAGTCGGTAGAGATCATAACTTGTATTGAGATTTAATTTAGGCTACGGCTTGACTGAAATGGATAGAGCTCTTGGTAGAAACACTCTTTTGATCAATGAAAATGTCTTATTTTGGCTGACGTCATTATCGCAACTTCCCAAATTTCGGAAGTCTGCTAAGTCCATGATCAAACGTTGGAAATTATCACAACCATTATAAAAGATGGCATTGGACAAGGTGCGTCCAACTAGGTCACCCTGTTAACACGAGTAAGTTGCGAAAACGAGTTCAGACCACATCTATACATCGAAAGGAGACTCCGACCAAGACGGAGGCCACGCCATTTTGAGCTTTGTCATGAAAATAGAACCTGACAAAAAGAAGGTTGTCGAAACCATCAAAAGAATGATGAAATTAAAAAAAAAGAAACTGGCTGATTTGACTTACAATGTCATCACCAAGACCGAGAAGAATAAGTTTGTTGATAAAATCCTGGGGAGGTAAGAGAAATATGGAATTGGTAATACTAAGCAAACGCATACAGACGAATAAATAAAAAAGCTATAAACCAGTATAAACTCCACTTTAGGAAGGCAATATTACCAAATATGCTAGAATTAAGGTTTTTATTAGAATCTGAAGAAGCAAGCTTTGCTATGATAAGACTGCCTTTTATGCCATTCTAAACGCGCTTAGAATTGCTGAGATGAAGGAAAACCTGCACCATGAGATAGGCATTGCTTAGAATCATGAATATGAGTTTACAGAAAAAAGACAATTAGACGCATGTTAAAAAAATGTATTTTAATAAAGAGTAAATGTGGACTGGGAGAAGAAATTCAGTATGCGAACCACAACTGTTCGCCTTAACACCAATAGCCCCAGAACAAATAAGAAGAGGCACCCGGGATTGAAGCGATGAAATATACTTAATGAATGCTTGAATTATGTTAATGGGCTTAAGTGCGTTAGATGAGATTTTTCTTCCAATTGGCATAAAAATTTCACTGTATCTAGGACAAAAAATAATGGCGTAAGCTCGTAAGCAACTCCGGTTGAAGTGATGCAATATAAGCATGTACATGAAAGCCAAGCTACGAAATCACAATAATAACCCGTTGGTTCGGGATTATTAAGATTTAATGGTCTAGGGAAAAGCACGACAGGGATAGCATAATCTAATATGTCCGTTTTGGTTGATGAGCCTAGTAGGTCTGCTGAAAATGTTGACTAGAGTATGTCATATTGTTACGTAGTCCTTCCCTGGGTCCTATCAAAGTCTCGCTCTTGCCCCGTAAGATCCGTCTACTCTCTCCCCGATTCACATATTTCACTCGACTCCTGCTATCCCATCTATGTTGCTCAAGGCGTTATTCGCCCTCCCCCTGCGTCTAGGTGATTAATTCGAGGCTAAAAACTCTGAGTAAGTCTCATGGCCACGCCTTTTCTACATGGACCATGTTTATGGTAAAAACAGACCCACTGTCAGCCCACTAGCTCCCATCGCCGCAGCGTTTATCCAGTTTCTATCTCTAATGCCAAGTATATGACTTCCAATGCCCTGTGTGTGCCAACCAACAAATGTTGTGGTACAGCATGTTTTGATTTGGTTCAATGTTGAGCCACAACGTTAGTGGGTTGTCACACAAGAGACTAGGGCATGGGAAGTCATAGACTTGGTATTAGAAATAGAAACAGGATAGGAACCGTGGAAGCTAAAGCTGGTTGGCTAACAATACTCGTGATTCCAGAATCACGTTTATGATCAAACACGTATATTGTTAACCAAATATCTCTAGTCTCCACCGCGTATTTCCTGTTTTTATCTGTAATACCATTCCCATCGCTTCCTATGTCCTAGTATATTGTGTTCCAACCTAAAATGTCGTGGTTCTACTTGTTTTGATAAGGCTAAG